CCCTGGGCGCCAGCGGGCACAGCGGGCAGAGCACCTGGTTCTCCGTCTCCCCGTCCTGGCCACTGAGGCACAGAGCTCCTGACGCGTCTGCTCCACTCCTGACACTCACAGGTGCTTACTTTTAGGCAGAACCTGCTCCCACTGAGCTGGGCCTGAAGAGCTCTCAGGAGAGCAGCACCTTCTACTCTAGCCCCAAAGCAGAAAAACGCAGCTCCCAGAACCACACCCCGACCCTGATCAGAGTCACCGGGGGGTCCCAGGAAGGTTTTCTGGCTTCAGAGAGAAGATTCGGAGGGGCCAGAGGCACGGGCTGGGGTCCTGGGTCCTGGTGGACCCACAATATATTTGTGGTGGACACACAAATATAAAGAAAAGCAGGATTATTCAGCCAACAGCGGTGTGGTGATAAGCCAGCCAGTCATTTGGGGGAAGACTTAGTGGAACCATAAAAATTCTAGAATTAAGCACGGATTAAAATGGCCATGGTCTTGGACAGTGTGTTTCCTGCACTGAGATGAAACGCCTCTGCGGGGAAAATGAAAGGTGAGTAGCCGGGACAACAGATCTGCAAGCGCGTGCGAGGGGTGACTTCCGGGACTCAGCAGGACAGCAGCGCGGGGACCAGAAGTCCCAAACAGACAGCTGGCAGAGGACACGCAGGCGGCCACGAAGAGAAACACACACGTGGCCCAACACGGAGAGATGCTTGAAAGCTCTAAAATTTTAAACACCAGGGGGCTCAGTTGGTTAAGCCTCTGACTTCAGCTCAGGTCATGATCTCGTGGTCCGTGGGTTCGAGCCCTGCGTCGGGCTCTGCTGACAGCTCAGAGCCTGGAGCTGCTTCAGATTCTGTGTCTCCCTCTCTCTGACCCTCCCCTGCTTGTTTGTCTCAGTCTCTCTCAAAAATAAACATACATTAAAAAATTAAAAGAAAACTTAAGAGACGACAATTGAAACACGAACACCATACTGCTCTCTGTCATTCTGGCAGAAAGTGAAATGTCTGATGACACAGGAGACCCTGACAAGGACGTGAGGGCACACGGGGGGGGGGGGAACACGTGGCCCAACGTTTCCACAGGACCCAATCTCAGACGCCACGTGCTTTTCGATTCAGCAATTCCATTTAAGAATTTCCCCAACACATACTTCCCCATCTGCAAAGATGAAAGACTACTGAACCACTACCTGCTCATTAAAAAGAATGAGCTGATCCATGAGTGCTAATCTAGAAAAATCTCTAAGACGTACTTGGTGAGACAGGAAACCACAGAGCATGAGGTATGTGAGCGCCCAGAAGACTCTGAGGGGGGCACTTGAAGCCGCCGACGGGGACCGTGTTGGGAGACGAGCCCGTGGAAAGGGAGCAGGTGTGGGTGTGGATGCCTCACCGCCTGTCTCTCTGCCTGTGTGGGTCCACAACTCAGGCAACACTGCACGTTAAAGTTTCTATTCTGCCATTCTGCTGTGGTTTTGTACCTGGGACTCCGTCTGAAGTCTCTGCATCTGAGTCCTGACTCTTTAACAGAAAACACAGAAGAAAAGAGCCCTTAGACACCAGGGAGAAAGGAGACGCAGAAACAGCCACGGACTCAGAAGAGAAGTTCACTGGCTCTTTCTCGGGTCAGCAGCTGGGTTTTTGGGAGCGCTCTGCGGTGAGGAAGACGCTCTTTTCTTAAGGAAGGAGGGGGCGTGCTGGGGTGAGTCCCGCGCCCCCCCCCCAGATGAGGGAAGTGGGCCCCAACCTGCCTCCCTCGGTCCCCTCCAGTGTCACCCACATCTGCGTGGCCAGACACCGCGGGCACTCAGGGGACACGCACAGGCACTCATGAGATGGCCACGCCTGAGCAGTGGGCTCGTGACCGTGCGTGCCCGGCGGAGCCCTGATGATCACGCCCGCCCGCGGGGCTGACCGCGTTGCCGCTGAGGCCGCACGGGCTGGGGCACGCTGAGGTCAGTGACCGTCCCCGCTGCGAGACGGAACCCCGCAGGCCGCGGCTTCGGGGGCGAACGGGGGAGGCCGGCGGCAGCCACGAGGAGATCTCCGGCGAGTGGAGAGGCAGGAAGAGGAGCAGAGAGGGGACAATGGGAAGAAAGCACACCCAGTCACAATGCCCTTGGACGGCTGTCAAACCGCAAGGGACAAGGGAGAACCTGGCGCCGCCCAGCGCTTCCAGAAGGCCCAGCCCTGCGGCCACAGGTTCTGGAGCCCCCACCACAAACACACGTCAGCGGCCCTACCAGAAGCGGAGAAGTGGCAGGCCTCCCGTCCCCGAGGCCCTGTCCCCGCCTCCGCTGGCCACTCTGAAGGGCTCTGACGGCCCACACCGGGGCCTGCCCAGACCCACAACACCCGTCCTTTCTTTCTTTCTTTTTTTTTTTTAATGTTTATTTTTGAGAGAGACAGAGCATGACAGACAGGAAGACACAGAATCTGAAGCAGCTCCAGGCCGAGCTGTCAGCACAGAGCCCAACACGGGACTTGAACCCACAAACTGTGAGATCACAACCTGAGCCAAAGTCAGATGCTTAACTGACTGAGCCCCCCAGGCGCCCCACCTGCCCTTTCTTTCTACCTGTGCCGACCCTGTGCTTCTATATTCCATGACCAGGAGACCTTGGGAGGCTGCAGAGAGCCTCAGGCTACGGATGCAGGTCAGCTCTTCCAGGGGGGCAGACGCAAGCCTCGCTGCCACTCACTTGCCTTCCTCCTCAGAACAGAAGGGCGGTTCTGACGCTCTCACGCGGGCACTGGGAGCACAGTCTCCGGTGCACTGGCTGAAGGGCCTGGGAGAGCCCACCAGGGCCAGTCCCCCTGACCTGTCACAGCAGATGATGAGGCAGGGCCGCTGGGAGGCGCTCTTGCTTACAAATAAAGATGCGACCACTCCGCCTGCAAATCACAGACTGAAGCCGCAGGGAAGGGAGCGAGAAGGATCTGTGGGATACGGATTTCTCGATTTCTCGTTACGGCACTCTGGCCTCCCCTCTCCCCGCCCCCCTCACCTGAAGCGGTTCGCCCCACGCAAGGCCGGCACGATCACGAGGAGTGCGCCAGGACCATGGGGTCGGGCGGGAGGCAGACGTCAGGGGTAGGGTTCCTGGTGCCGCCTGAAAACCCAACACCCTGATGGGGAGGCACTTTACTTCATTCCATCCCACATCCTCCCTAGACCCACTGGGATCTCACAGCTTAAAATGGTTTGTTTGTTTGTTTCTGTTTCTATTTGGACTAGATAACAAAGTCCAACTGTGAACTTGCGTATTTCCTGACGACGACCTATGCACTGTCACGTCCAGTTTTATAGGTGATGTAAGACTGGCTGAGTACAAACAACCTGCCAACAGAGCCCAGTTGAGACTCACTGGCCGAGTCCTCAGCTCTTACTGGAAAATCACATTCACTTCATTTACTGAGCACCCGCAGAGGCCCGGCCATGCTGGGAGCTCAGATTTAAACGGCTGTGGCCCCTGCCCCGCACAGAACCTCAAGGCTGGAGGGGGAGGCGTGTGAGCCCGTAGCTATGGTACAGCGGCCACGCACGCCTGGCACTCGGAGGGGACGCCTGGGAAGGCCTGGGCACACCAACGGGACTCTGGGAGGGGGTGGGGGAAATGGAGGGTGGCCCGCTCTTGACGGTGACTCATCCTAAGCAAAGCTGCCCATTAATCCTGTCTCTACAGTCTGAGCTCTAAAGTCCTCAGTCCCAAAATGGTGCCCCACTGTCACCCTGGGTCAAGCGCACATGATGCGCAGCTCACGCCGGATCTGGAGGCCTCCAGGACGGCCGGGGGCCAGAACGCCTCTGAAGTGACCATTCAGCAGGACCTCTGCCGGGTCGGAGGGCCAGCGGCGAGTTGGGGTGACCAGCGGGCACTGCCCAGGCCAGGCTCACACCTACTGTCCCTGAATCATGAGTAACGTGCTCTCTTCCATTCTCGAAAGTGCCCCTTTCGAACGAGAGACGGTGCCTACTGTGGACATACCTTCCATATCCAACGCCTCCCATGTGGGAGGTTCACCGCCCGCCTCTTTCTGGCCCGTCTCCAGAAGTGCCATTACAAGCACCCGCACGCCCCTCCCCAGTCCCTCCCACGTGGTACAGCTTCCCAAGTCACCACAGGGACGTGGGCCACGATAACCTGCACTCAGAGCTGAGGCTTCCCAACGTACTTTCTAGAGAACCCGATGAGGAGAAGCATAAAAAGGACCCCAGAACGTGTTACACCTTCCACAAAACCTACTGTGGAATCTTCAAAGTCATCCGTGCAGTTCGTTACTAACTACAAACCAGGACATGCCTGTGCGGTCGGGTCCTAGGGCGCTGCCGCCATCCGGCGAGGCCGCACAAGACAGACACACGTCCATACACGTCCACACGCGACACTCATTGACTTCAGAGTGACCGAAGGGGCTTCGCCCAGGTCTTCCCCAGGGTCCTGTGGGCTTTCTAAGCCACCCGACCTGCTGCCCCTTGACTGAGAGCTTCCCAGGTTACAGTGTGGGTGTGGAGAGGATCCAGGAAGTGTACGGACCCAAGGGGCCTCCAACGGTCTTTACCAATACTGAAAGAGGAAGGTCAAGTTAGCTCAGAACTTGGTCAAAACGGACGCCTCGGGGGTGCTCTCCCTGGTCTCCTGTCTGTGCCTCTCACATCACACCCGTCCTGGCCAACTGTCACTCAGGGTCAGGAAATACAGACACCATCCCCGGGCACACGGCTCCGTGCAGAAGCACCCAGGGTGGACCCTATAGACAGGCAAAGGTGGGGGGTGGGGGGAAACTTCTTGGGCTTAAACACACTGAGCTACGCACACGCTCCCGCCAGCCCCAGCCTATGCACGGGACCCTCTAGTCCTCCTCCCGAAAATGGGAAGAAACCCCCCGGTCTGGGTAGCTGCTCCTCCCGAAAGGCAGTAAAACTGTCACCTGGTATCTCCCGCCCAGATCGAGAGTGACTTCACCCCCACTCCAGACACCCGGGCGGGGCCGGACTCACCCTCCTCCTCTTCCGTCTTCAGGACCATCTTTCTCCACCACAGCAGGGCCCCGAGGGCCGCGAGGCTTTGTCCTGCGGAGGCCAAGTGGGGCGCGGGGCTCCCCTGGGCTGCGGGCCGGGCCGGGCGGGGCGGCGAGCACCTGGGGGCTGCGGGGCCAGGACAGCTCAGAGCTGCTTCCTGAACCCGGACCAATGGGCCTCCTCCGGTGCCACAGGCGTCACAGCCACCACCCAGTTCCTGAAGTCAAGCTCAAGTAGCTTCGGAGGAGTTAACCAGTTAACCGCCTGCTGCCTGGAAGAGGCCGGAGGCCAGAGCCCAGGAGCCCGGCAGCTGCGCTCCCAGACTTTCCTCCGACGCAACCACAGTGACCTGTCTGCTCACTGGGCGAGTTACCTTCTCAGAGGAGGAAGCCCCGGCGCTCTCACGGCGAGAGGGCGGCTCGTGTGCGAAGACGATGATTAAGAGACCGTCATCGTTACAGCATGCTATGAGGTCACAGGCTAAAAGGAGAAGGCAGTTTTTAAGAGAGAGAGAGAGCTGGGGAGAGGGGCAGAGGGAAGGGAAGAGAGAGAGGAAGAGGGAGGGAGAGGGAGAGGGAGAGGGAGAGGGAGAGAGAGAGACAGAGAGAGAGAGAGAGAGAAAGCCTTAAGCAGGCTCTGGGCTCAGCACAAAGCCTGACACAGGGCTCGATCCCATGACCCTGGATCATGAGCTGAGCTGAATCAAGAGTCGGACACTCAACCAACTGAGCCCCTTAGGCGAGAAAGCAGACTTTTAGAGGGAAAAAAAAAAATCCAAGGCCATTGCCAATACAAGTTCGGTTTTATCCCCATTCTATGTGTTCATTTCTGCATATTGTGATTATATTCACGCTACATGTTTATTGTTGAAATCAGATTAACAGTAATGAGGAAAAAACTCTAAGTCCTCTCACCTGGGAATAACCACCGATGACATTCTGGTATCTATTATTTATATTCTTCCAGATTTTTGTTCTGTGTATTGTATTCTCACTCTGTATCTTTCTCCAGCACACACACACAAACGTATCTTTTCTCTCTATAGATGTCTTGTACCTTATATACGTGTGTAACCATGTCATAGAAACATATCTTTCTCTAAATGTATTTATCATATCTCAACAGATAAGTATACACATCCAAAAAGAAATTTATATCTATAAAAAAATACACAGAAACAAAAGTTTGATGTTTTATATGCTGCTTTATAAGCAGCCATTTTTTATTTATGACAAACACTTTTCCATGATTATACATGGAAATTTATCATGTTTTTTATTATTCCCAACACAGACGGTATTTAGCCAGCCCCCGGCTGTGAGGCTTTCCCGCGGCCCCTCCCCTGCCAATCCCTGCTCCCAATTCCCGGGCCCATGTTCTCGCTCAGCGCTCAGCTCTTATCATCCCACGCTTATCATCCCAGAGCAAACGTCCTCAGGGCGGAGCTGCTGGCTCTAGATACAAGGTCCCCTCCCGCCGGTCACTGCTACTTCCGAGTGACAAATGCAACAGCGCGTGACTTGGGCCTCACCCCTGGAGGAACTGCTGCCCAGCCTGACGTCACTCTGCGGGGGGGGGGGGGGGGGGGTCTCTCGACACCAAGGCCCAGAGGGTCACACGACTGGCCCAAAGCCTGAGAGCCGGCACAGGGCCCTCTCTGGCGGCTCCGCTGCGGGACCCCGGCCCCTCCACCAGGGAGTCTTGGCCGTGAGCGCGCCCCTGCAGCAGGTGTGCGGGCCCTCACTGCGGATAGAAAGGCACACGTCTACGCAGGACGCCAGAGCACGGCGCTTCCAGGCCCACCGGGACCGTGCTCATGGACCCCCATGTTCCTACTTGTCTAACACGCAAATACACAAACATCTGCCTTTAGAAACCACTCTATTTTGTAGAGGCAACCAGGATACCCCAACCTCACACCTCCGGTTCAGTACGTCAAAACCAGAGGCACGCCTTCTCCTGTGCGCCCCTTCCTGGAACGAGCCCCAGGCTAAGCCCCCGCCAGCCCCACATTCCCAGATCAGTACTCGCACCCTCTGGTGCCAGGGCTGGTCTCTGACCCCAACTTTTCCGAGGACGGGTCACTTCCACTTTCTGTCTGCTGTCAGGTGGTAGAGCGTTTCTCCGGAAAAGATGCCTGAAGGCCTGCCCTCCGCCACCCCGGGCACAGGTGCCCCCGCCTCTCTGGCAGGACCCACTTCACGTCTGCTCGTCTGAGATGTGAACAACAGCTTCTCAGCATTCCTGTCTACACTGACCTGATGGCCGGTGGTGCTGATGACCTTTTCAACGGTTTGAGGTACTTCCTCTTTCCTGAACTGCTTATCGATATTGTTTGCCCATTTTCTTATCAGTTATCTTTTCCTATTGATTTGTAGACTACAAATTCTTTGTATTAAGCACTGCAAATCTTGGGGCGCCTGGGTGGCTCAGTCAGTTGAGCATCCGACTTCGGCTCAGGTCATGATCTCACGGTTTGTGGGTTTGAGCCCCACATCGGGCTCTGTGCTGACAGCTCAGAACCTGGAGCCTGTTTCAGATGCTGTGTCTCCCTCTCTCTCTGACCCTCCCCTGCTCATGTGCTCTCTTCTCTTTCTCTCAAAAATAAACAAACATTAAAAAATTTTTTTTTAATGTTGCAAATCTCTTCTCACAACTGGTCACTTGTTTTTAACAGCAGCTGTGGTGTCTTTTGCCTCATAGAAGTTTCTGTGTGTTACAAACAAATACGTAATCTCTTCCTCCACTGGCTTCATCCCGAGTGTGCGGTGCACCGGGGACCTGGAGATGCGAGCCCCCTGGCACTGAGGCGCATGGTGCTGCGAGGGCAGGGCTGCAGGGAGGCCCCGGGGGTCAGGAGCCCCTGGGGCAGAGCCCACAGCGGCGGGAGGGGAAGGCACTGCGGGAGGGGGGGAGGGGAGGGGAGGGCTCTGGGGGCCCGGTGGACTGTCTTCAGGACTGGCTTCCACGGTGGGGGAGACGGGGAGCCGAAGCGACGGCACTGACTTCCGCTGTCGTGACTCGGGCCGCTGGTGAAGGCAGGCAGCAGGGCAGCGCCTCATCCGGGCGCGAGATGACTGCAGTGATCAAATTCCTGCTCTGGTAGCTCTGAAGGCAGAGCCTAGGGCTTGCTGACAGATGCCATTTGGGTGTGAGAGAAGTCAAGGTCGGCCCAAGCCCTCTGGCCTGGGCAGGAGGGAGAACGCACCTGCCATCTTCCGGGCGGCAGCTGCCACCAGGGTCCCTGCCCCAGGGCGCAGGGCACGCCTCCCACCTGCCTGGACCTCCCGGCTCCTAGCCCTGCCCGCCCCTCGCTGCTGTCCAGGTCACTTCCCACGAGGGACTCTGAGTGGCTCGTGTACGCCCATCGTCCCCGTGTGGGGCGGGCGGGCCCTTCACGACCGGCCCCTGTCCCAGTGCTGTAAGCCACTGGCGGAAGAGCTGCCGCTTAGGCCTTGAACCGGAAGCACGGCAGGCACACCCGGCGGGCACCGTGCTGCCTTCTGTGTGACCAGGGCTGGTCCAAAGCTAGTGCAACAGACGACACTGTTAAAGAAGGAAGTTGTGAACGAAGAGGGAAGTCTTCGCGTCCCAAAAATAGAAACTTAACTACTAAAGCCCCAAATTCTACGTGTGACTCACTCGTAAGTGACTGTATTACTTATCATCCAGACCTTGGGACGTTTCTCAGACTGCAGGTGGGTGCTCTGTGTAACCACGTCGGCCACTAGGCGAACGCGGGCCCCCCTCCCCCCCGGGGCCAATGGGAACAACCGCCACCCTCCTCAGCAGGCAGCTACGGCTCAATCCCAAGGGCGGCGCGCAAGACTGTAAGCCGGCTCTTCGGACAGCAGCTGAGCACGAGTTCACGGCACACTCTGAGATCACTAGGAAAACAATGAGAACACAAACGCAGACCAGTGGGCCGGGCCTCAGCGCCGTCTGAGTCATGGGCTGGGAGGCTGAGGCCCCACGGGGGGCACCACACCAACCCAGGAAGACCACGCGCCATAGCTACTCGTGTTAACGTCACGCATAACGGCACTGGGACTGCAGGCGTTTGCATCCAAGACATTTTAGGTTTTCGATTAATAAAATACCTTAAGCAGCCTGAGTCCTTTGCCCCCGCCTCGTCTTCTCTGGGACAGACAGGCTGGAACCGGCAGGCTTGTAGTGGCTGAAAGTGATGCTGGGAGACAAGGCACGAGAATGTTCACGCAACGCTCCAGGGACACTTCCTCTGGGCGTGACAGAGAGAAGCGGGAGTCTGCAGGGTCGCCTGGGACAGAAGTGAAGGGTGGGGGCTGGGGAGGCTCGCAAGCAGCGGGGAAGCACCCCGGGGTCAGTGAGAGGGAGCACCCGCCAGGGCCAGGTCCGCGGGAGGCGGCTGGCTGCCCTGGGGACAGGGCTCGGCGAAGCCTCAGCCACTTGGCAGGGAGAAAAGGCCTTGAGCTCATTCTCCTCTGCCCAACCGCTGGAACAACTCCGGCAGGGGTCAAGGGCAAGGGGGCCGCGGGCGCGGTGCACCGGGGCAGCCTCCAGCCAAGGAGGCCGGGGGTCAAGGGCAAGGGGGCTGCGGGTGCGGTGCACCGGGGCAGCCTCCAGCCGAGGAGGCTGGGGGTCAAGGGCAAGGGGGCCGCAGGTGCGGTGCACCAGGGCAGCCTCCAGCCGAGGAGGCCGGAGAAGGGCAGGCGCCACACCGCAGGCGGCCGGGCGCCTCTCCTCGGGGCGGCCTCGGCCCCCCCGCTGCCGGGAAGCCTCAGCTCCTCCTCAGGGTTTTAAGACCCTCCTTAACATGGCGCTGCCAGTAGCCCCTCTGGATTTTTCTCTAGCCCTTCATGCCTGGTTTTTCTTCTTCAACCAAAATAACATGCACACATCATACAAGAAACAAACAGTACCTATGGCTTAAAACAGAAACCCACAGTTTCCTGCCCAACTGTACCCGCACCCTTGCACTCTGCTCCATAGAGGCAGCCCTCCCAGCTAGGTCTTCTGCTAATTACCTCCCTGCTTCCACATGACACAGCTACACTACTCGTTCCTGGGTTTTCAATTCTGGACACCAACTACCTGCCGTGACAGATGAAGGCTTAGCTTTCACACACACACACACACCCCCCCCCCAGAACACACACACGCTGGCACGCACGTGGTACAGTCACACATAAGTTCTGGGGTCAATCAACGTTTACTAGTTCCATAAATACTGCTCACCACTTAGCTGTATAATGTACCGTGGTTAAAATGACCATAGATGGGGCGCCTGGGTGGCTCCGTCGGTGGTGTCCGACTTCGGCTCAGGTCACGATCTCGCGGTTTGTGGGTTTCAGCCCCACGTCGGGCTCTGTGCTGACGGCTCGGAGCCCGGAGCTGCTTCAGATTCTGTGTCCCCCTTGCTCTCTGCCCCCTCCCACTCGTGCTGTT